CCCCAAAACCCCAAAACCCCAAAACCCCAAAACCCCTAAATTATTAAAATTTATTGAAATTTTGCAACAATGCTTTCAAAACCAAATACATTGCTAAGGCTGAAAGTGCTGAAAAGGCACCTTCTGCCTATTCCGTGCAGAACTATTTCTTCAGAGACAAAGACCCTTCGCGGTTTTGATAGTGGAGTCGGGTTCCTACCTCATATGGAGAAGAGACATAAGGGAGGCGAGGACGCCTACTGAGTCACAAATACTATGATTGCGGTAGCTGATGGAGTTGGTGGCTGGGCTCAATCAGGAGTTGACCCTGCAATTTACTCAAAGAAATTATGTCTGAATATTAAAAATAAGTACCTTGAGGATATTGAGAAGAATTCTGATGATGAAAATTCAACCGTAAATGACCCCTGCAAACTCTTAGCTTATGCAGTCGCTGAAAATCATGAGAAAGGAAGCAGTACAGCTATTATATGAATGCTTGATAGCAATGAAAATTACTTGCACACAGCCAATTTAGGAGATTCTGGGTATCTACTTCTAAGAAAGAATGGATTTCAAATTAACACACTTTTCAGGTCAAAAGAGCAAACTCATGGTTTTAACTTCCCTTTCCAAGTTGGAGTTGGAGGAGGTATATTTCGGCTATAATTACATAGATGATCCTCTGCTGGCAGATGTACAGAAACATGAAATTCAGAATAATGATATCTTAGTTGTGGGCAGTGACGGGCTATTTGATAATATGTATGATCATCAGATTACAGATATCATTAATCCATTCATTAAAGACAAGGATGAAATACTTGATACGGAATTAGTAGCTCAGTTGATAGCTAAGCAAGCTGAGGCTCTTTCTCTGGATCCTAACTGGAAATCTCCATTTGCAAAGCATGCGTATGATAACTACTATGATTTTAAAGGAGGGAAGCATGATGATATCACTGTGTTGGTCTCTCAAATACGGATCAGGGATATTGAATAATTTCCACCAATAGAAAAATCTTAGGGGTTTTGGGGTTTTGGGGTTTTGGGGTTTTGGGG